GTTAGTAATAAAATTTTTAAAATAGAAATAAATATAAAAAATTACAAAATGTAGAAAAATTTAGACACATTTATGATATTTTTATTAATGAAATTAAAAACAAATGTAATAAACAAGAATTATTTTTATTGATAATGAAAATTAAATACATAATTTAGAAATGAGCAAAAATGAAATTATTTTACTATTTGGAAAAGATCAATAGTTCAACTTTTGGGCCAAATTTATTAGCGTTTAGTACCATAAATAAATAAAAATTAATAAATATAAAAATGCATAAATTTTACAAAAGAACATTCAGGCACATGTATAATATCATATAATTATCATATTAAACAAGAAGTAAGTGTGACATATCAGAATAATTTTTACACATAAAATACAAAAAGAATTATAGAAAAAATTGAACACATCTGTAATGTTATATTTACACTACTATTAAAAGTGTGAATAAGATTATGGAACATTTCTTTTAACTAAAATACTCAATTTTGAATTTAGTCCCTATTTAATTGTGAAGTTTAAATTTTAAATTGAACTACTATTTAGGGGTGTCAATTGGACCAGATTTTGTCCAATCCGATCCAGTCCAACGTGAGCCCATTACAAATGGACCAAGTCCAATATAATCCAATAAATATTTTGGACCATTTTGGATTGGTCCAATTCAATGTCTGGACCGTCTAATCTCTTCAAATTCGTTTTAATTTAGATTGGTTTCAACCTAAATCTAGTCCATTGATATTCTTATCTTATATTAATTGACCAGATATTGACTTAATCCAATCCAGTCCAATATAAATTTATTATGGACGGACCAGGTCCAATCCAGTCTAATAAATATTTTGGACTGGATTGGTCCAATCCAATATGTCTTGTTGGTCCATCAAATTCGTCCAAATTGATTTTGGATTGGATGGGGTCCATTCCAAAATTGGTCCATTGACACTCATACTACTACTTTTCATTGTTCGGGTGATGCCTCAGTTGGCTGAAGTTGCTACATGATATACCTTTGTGGCCAATGACTTTGGACCATGTTGGCTTACGTCACCACAATCGCGTCACAGAGAGGCCTCACGAGGAAGCAAAGTTCCGCACAAACAAGGAGACATGGCCCACTGGAAGAGCGGGACCTCTCGAGAACCTCGGTGGGCAACCTCATCCCGACAACCCTACATACCTCATCCAACTACAACATGGGTGTTCAGTCTATATAAAGGCATCTCCCTCTCAATGTAAGCTCTCTAGGATTTAGCACACATTACTCTCCTTGGCTTTGACCAACTCTTTACCTACTTGGCCCAACAGATCTCTCTCTCTTCATTACTAACTTGAGCAATGAAGTGCCTACTCGGGGATAAATTCCTCAGGCCTTTGATTTTTTTCTGTGCTTGCAGACTATAGTGCATGGTCTTGGCCTCAGATCGAACAACAACATTCACCTCATTCGATTCTCTCTATTTAAATCTTACATTTCTTTGATAAATGAACAAAAAAAGATACACCAAAAAGATAAAACATTACAAAAAAAAATCTAGCCAAGTAGGTAGGCCTATCAATGATACTTGAAGTTTTATAACTCGATCCGATGATATTTGAACGAAATGTTTTATGTAATTAGATTTGGATCTTGCAATCTACAACTTATTAATAATAAAAATTAAAAATTAAAAAAAATATTAATATAATTTTTTTGATACATTATTACTATCATTATCATCATCTAGAATTCTCACGTGCAAAGCACGTGTATGTTTACTAGTATTTTAAAAGGTGTGGGAGATGTACCTCCACACAAGGTGCCCTCAAAATGCCTTGATGCGCATGCTGGAGCGTGGAGGCATTGATGCCTATGGGTAAGGGTGTTAATGGACCGGTTTTGGATTGGACCCTATCCAGTCCAAAATCAATTTGGATAGATTGGACAGACCAGCAAGACATATTAGATTGGAACAATCCGGTCCAAAATATTTATTAGATTGGATTAGACCTGGTCCGTCTGTAATACATTTATATTGGATTGGGTTGGATTAAGCCAATATTTGGTCAATTGATATAAGATAAGAATATAGGTGTCAATGGACCGAGTTTGGGTTGAAACCAATCTAAATCAAAGCGAATTTGAACAAATTGGATGGTCCAGACATTGAATTGGACCGGTCCAAAATATTCATTGGACTGGATTGGACTTAGTCCATTTATAATGGACTCACATTGGACTGGATTGGATTGGACCAAATCTAGTCCAATTGACACCCCTACCTATGGGGCATACACCTCAAATCATGGTTTTTGAACCTCTGTTGACTTGAATAGTTGGACCATTTGGCCTGAGAACCATCTAGGCAACTGGTTTCGTTTTACTTCAAACTTGGTCCTTGGCCAAAAGCTGTTGAATTGGTTAACGACCTGTTGATCCGAGTGGTCAAACCGTTTGACCCATTCAATGGTTTTGGCCATTTTTTATTTTAATTATTTTTTAATATTTTAATTTTTTGTTAGAATAGGCCATCCATTTGGACCAGATGGTCAAACCATCGACCTAAAAACCGATGGCCAGAAAGGTTCCGGTTCTGGGTCGCTTTTAAAACATTGCCTCAAATGCATTTTGCATTAAGTGTACAAGGGGTGTATGACATACCCTTCACACATGCTTAGGTGGCATAGAATAAAAAAGCAAGTCTATGACCTCTAGGGTGGCTCCTGTACCCCTTGGTCACACCCCTTCCCTGTTAGCTAGTGTTATGCATCTTCATTCTGCTTAACTCGAAAAACCTTTGATAAAAAATAAACAAAATCAAAAAAATCAAAACAAAAATTCCTCCTCTTCCTTTTTTCTCTTCTCCCTCCCCCACTTAAAAGAGGCTTATGTCTCTTGCGCTGAACTATACTTCTTGCCTCCAAGCCAATGGAATACCTCCATCATGCCTCTGTTGAATCCACCCTTCTTGGGTAATTGCCCTTCTTTAGCAATCTTGTAGTGAAAATAGATGGTTTCTGGGTCGATGGTTTGACCATCTGATCCGAATGGATGGCCTAATCTAACAAAAAAAATTAAAAAATTAAAAATTAATTAAAATAAAAAATGGCCAAAACCACCCTTTCAGTTACTTCTCCCACATTGCTTCTCACCGACTCGGAAGGAAACTTCGAGGTAGAGTCCGTAGCAGTGCTTCAAAGGTGATTGATTGAAAGACGTAATTTTCCGATTGTGCAGGTTTTGGCTCAATGGAGCAATTTGTCCCTACATGGGGAGGACTGGTCTATAGAATCTCATTTTCCAAATTTTGACCCCTAGGACAAGGGCACCCTTATGGGGAGGGGAATGTAACAGCCACTACTTAAATAACAGCATTCTTGTAATGAATTGAAGTAGCTAAGTGGTCTGTTAGTTACTGAGTTGTAATAGTCGGATGTGTGGGCAGGAAATAGCCTTATATAAATACGATTAGAGAAAGCAATAAAAGGGATATTGATCTCTGTTTTCTATTTCCTTCTCTATTTTCTCTGTCTTCCCTTTTCCCCTAATTTTGGTTCTTGTTATAATGAGAGAGTGTTTGGTTTGGTGGGCATTTATTCAATAAATGCTGTAACCTAGGTGCCACTTCAGCAGTTCACATCTCTTGCTCTTCATTAAGAAAGGCAAAAGTGGATTTCGGTTTTTGTACACGCCTACTATTTGGAGAAGTTAAAGCTTCCACAAACGGATAGGCAGTTTTTTCACTGTTACACTGATGTGGACTCTAGTGGCACCTATTGGTCATAAACAGTTATAATTATTACCTTTCTCGATTTTACAAACAAATAAAATACAAACGTTGAATGAAAAAACATAAACAGAACCAAACACATACTGAACGATTGCCTATCTTCTTTTTCAAATGGGAAACATGAAATATAGGATGAATCTGAGTTTGTAAGCAACTTGCCGAATCTTTTGTAGAACTTGGAAGGGTCGCATAGTATTTTGCTGAAAGCTTCAAGTCTGGGCTGGGGGCTCTGCCCCTGTACTCCCTTGTCTTCACTCCTCCCCCCTTTAGCTAGTGTTGTGCATCCTCAATCTGCTTAACACAGAAAACCTTTCATAAAAAATAAACAAGAAAAAAAAACCAAAACTCCTCCTCTTCCTTCTTTTTCTTCCTCCTCATCTTAAAAGAGGCTTATGTCTCTTATGTTCTGAACTACGACTCTTGCCTCCAGCTAATGGAAAACCTCCATCACGCCTTGATTGAATCCTCCCTTCTTGGGTAATGGGCTAATGTCCCTTCTTCTTTAGCAATCTTGTAGTGAATTTGCTAAAAAGGAGATTATCCACCATACATGCCTCTTGGCCTGTTTAAACTCAAAATTTAAGGCAAACCAGTTTGTTATATATACTTAAATATTTAGGAATCTAAAGTGTTATTCAATCTGGGCTTAGTTATCAGATTTGATTTAGGAATGCTTATTTTTGTTGTTCATGTTGTAATTTGCGAATAACTATGCAGGCTTCTTATAGAGGAGAGGAAGCTAGGAAATTATTTTTCATTTGCTGTAATCCCTAATTGTGGCCATAGCTGCAGAGATTGATTGATGTCTGAATGGGTACCATTAGATAACTAATTATTATTAAGCAGTCATTTGTACCAATGTTTCATTTTTTCTTTTAAGGTTTTAACTTTTAATAAGTAATGTTTCCGAAATGCCGATTCATATGGCATTCTTTAAGGGGCAGGTAGGGTTTCAGGTTTATAGTCTGCGCTTGTCTTCTTTAAAAAATTACTATGCAGGACAATGTTGGATTTGGTAAATTATATCCATCTGCCAAGGTTTTCACACCAACACAATTATATCAATGATGGCCTAAAAAATTCTATCAATGGTAAAACAAGTTTTGTGTAGTGTTTATTCTTTAAATTAAGTATGAAAATGTATCAATATATTCTTACTCGTGGTTCTTTCCTTTTTAGGCTATAATGCAACATCAATTTTTGGATTTGACAATGCACTTGTTTCAAAGGAAATGAAACATCCAATATTCTTCTTTTGCAGGAAAAGAAAGAAAAACATCCAATATTCTTCTTTTTGTGTTTTTTTGCCCTTTTTGGTACATCTTCTCATGTACATCCCTTCCTTTTTTGTTTGAATGAAAGTTACCCTTCTCTCAATGTGTCAATTGCATTCTCTTGTAGCCCTACAGGATCTGTTTTAGTCAACTTTTAGAGCAGATTTCCTCCTTCCCCAATTCATCTGTGCATCCCTGATCTTTGACTATATACTCTTCGAATGCTTCTTGGAGATACATCTCATTAATTGGTAGGAACAATTGTGGAAGGAGTGGAAGTTGGAACCAAATTGGTTATGTGGGAAACAACTTGTAAGTTGTAACTCTTCTAAAATTCCAATTGATCATTTACAGTAGCTTAAAGAACCTACATACTTTGATATAAATATAAGAAGAGATACATATCACACACAAGCCGATCTGATATATTAGATCTGTGGAAGGACTGCAAACGAACCTAACAAGTTGTCCAGAGCAGAAATGAAGATTGAATGCAGACCATTTGGTCATCGGTAGAAGCTTTCCATGTGACACAGACTGCAGATTCCACCAACCACCTTGACTATAGCTTTCATATCTTTATCCTGAAGATAACAAAAACAACTTAAATAAACGATGTCAAGCCAGATAATGGAGGTACACATATTAAGAACCATGTTTCAGAGATATTCTTGTGGTGCAACATGAGTCAATTAATGAGCTCAAGCAAGAGTATTTTCACACATAAGTATGACAAAGAAAAGAAAAAGCATCAACCAGAACCATCAAGTAATATATCTTTGAATCAATTTCAGCCCATTGAATCAGTTGATTACTAACCGGATAAAAGTTGGACAGATATCCATAAAACAATATCTGATGTGAACAATGTCAATCGTCTGGTATTTAGCAGAGCATCACTGCAAAATCTATTGGGAGGCTCTAGCATCAGCTGTAAATGCTTGTTCTGCCCACAGGGGCAGAGGTGCCTTGACTTCAACTGGAAGTCCAGTGACAGGATGACTGAATGACAAGCTCTCTGCATGAAGGGCATGACCATCAAACATTTGCCCCCTCCACTCATAGACACCTTCATATTTCACATCCCCTCTTATTGGAATTCTGAGGTACTGACAGTGCAAACGAATCTGATGCGTTCTGCCGTTCTTAGGATATGCTCTTATCAACATCTCATCCTTTTTATCATCGTTGCTTAAACTGACGCCTCGTTCTTCAACAAGTTGGAATTCTTCTTCACTAATAGTATGTTTAGTTGGTTCTCTGAAGTTCCCTTGCCCATTCACTGAGAGAACTTCAAATGAAGTTGCCATGTCTCTGACCACTGAACCGCCAGGGAGTGTCCGACCAACATCTGATGCAGCATAGACTCGCCATGCACCAAACTTAGATCTACCATGGCCTGATTTTATGCTGATTGTCTCCCACTTTGGAGCAGCTCCAATGCACAGAACCACGTACGTTTTTGAAACCTTGTGGTCTGTGAATGCCTTCACAAGTTTTCCTGCTATCTTGTGTGACTTGGTTATGACCATTACACCGCTAGTGTCGCGGTCAAGTCGATTGGCTAGATGGAGCTCCAGTGGGTTAGATTCATTTCCTGTAAAACAAAATTTTGATTCAAATTCCTATCTTTTCTTTTTAAACATTTTTGGCTAACCAAAGTATTGAACTATCAACAAAAGACACCCGTAAGTGTAACAGGGGGGGTTGAATTTTGAACCACATACAATAAAGGAAGCAATTATAAGGAAATCTTACTCAGTGTTGAGGAATCAGTGGAATTGCTCCAAAGACGAGGAACTGAAGCCAATACGCTTTCACAGTAAATCCCTTGTGGTTTGTTTACGACGATCAGCCACTCGTCTTCGAACAGCACATCGCTTAAGGAGAGTGAAAAGAGACTCGATTTTGAGGACGCGGACATGGCTCTAGCCAGCTCCATCTGCTTTGAAATCGCAGGCAATGGCGGAGACAAAGGGATTGGGTAATTTACAGTCTTGTTTTCACCATTTGGGTCCCCCTCTTTTGCTGAATCGGGGTGACTCCTATACGCCATTATTCGATTAGGAGGAGGAGATATGTTGCAGAGAGATCGGACGGCTGTGGAGGGTTTGAAGGGATTTTTGATCCGTAGAAAGAATAGGTAAGGACTAGAGAGGAGGCGTGGTGTGCTGGTCATGTAGATGTAGGTCACTGTAAGAATGACAAGTCCGCCGTTACCACCATTTCTGACTTCAGAGGCTGCCTGAAACGCTGAAACAATGGCGACATCAGACATCCAGACTCCAGAGGGGCTCTGATGTAAAGGAGATTGGTCTACAATGACGCAAATACCCTAAAAAATTACATGACTAAACTACCCTTCCCATTCTCATTTCAATATGAGGTTTTTAAACTGCAGTCGAGTTTTTGATCTGTTTTCATTTCTGTTTCTGTTTTTTTCTATGTTGTTTTTCTTTTCCTCTGTTTTCTTTTGCTTGGGATTAAGTGATTTTCCACCCAAAAAAAAGTCGAGTTTTTGATCTGAAGATTTTTCGAGGCTTTAAAACCTTTCCGAGCTCTCCGGCTCTCCCTCTAGCGGAAGATCCTATTAGTAAAAAATGGGGAATTTTATTGCGATGAGAAGATCAACAGATGGATCTTTACACCTCCGAAACCCTGCAATTCGGACCTACCTGGTTTCACTTCTGTTCTCTTCGCTCTCAGAATCACACAATAAACCTCCCAATATCTCACACCTCAATTCGCAGCCCGTGATTGGTTCTAGTTTTAGGGTTTTGCAGAGTTTCTCGAGGTTTTCTTGTTCTTCTTTTGAGGTTGAAACCATAAAGAAACTAGCTTGTTTTCATCACTTTTTCGTTCCACCAAGCGGTGTGCACTGGTTCAGTTCTCAGGCCGTTATTGAACCTAAGACCTCCGATGGCCTTACAGTCGATAATATTGTTGCTCGCCGATGGACGATACTCGATGAAAGCGAAAGTGATTGGAAGAGTCACGCCGCTGCCATCGCTCAATCGATTCAGCTAATCAAGAAGCGGTTACAGGTGGAATTACTAAGTCCGTTATTATGTTTTAGTGAACTGAAGTTCCGCTATTATGTTTTTTCTCATTCTGTTTCCAATTTGTGGTTGCTGATTCTTCTCAAATTTCGTAAGGTTTGTGGCCATGTTTTCACCAATTCCGGTTTGGTGTGAAATCTGAGTTTTTCCTGTATGGTGACAGTGGAAGAAGATGGTAATCAGGCTGGAGATGCTCTCAGCAGAGCTGAATAGGTCCGACCTTTGGGACGACCCTGTTCATGCTGGGAAGATAAGCCGCGAGCATGGTTCCCTCATGGGTAAGATGAAGGAGGTAAATGGATTCGAGCAAGAATTGTTCGAGCATATTGATATGCTGAAGCTTGCACGTGAAGAAAACGATGGAGAGTTGGAATCGGTGGGCCCTTGCTTTTTCTTATAGGCATGTATTCCATCTGCTACATATTATACATTTAGACAGTTTCTTCCTTGGATTTAGCAATATATTAAAATGATTCAAACTCAATTGAGATTCAGCAGAAAACCTTCAATAACTGTTACAATTATGTGAACAATATACGTTGAATCTTCACCCACAAAAGATGTAATTTACATCTATGTCATATGATCTGAACTGACAATGGGAATTCAATGTGAAACACAATTTACACTTTGCATAAATCATTTGCGTTGAAATCAATTTGTAGAGTCTTCTATTCATTGACAGGTGGGATAAATTTTCAGTGTTTGCCCCAGGAAGCATGTTTGTAACGAGACTATTATCTAGAGGTGCAAAACAGTTTCTGAATCCAAAAAGCATACTGCCAATATAATAAAATAAGACGTAGTCCATTTCCAACTCAGAGAAGTATCCATTTGGTAAGAGGTGATAATGACCGTGTATGTAGCATGATTGACCGAGGCATATGTTTAGAGCCCCATGAAAGTGATCTGGTGGATCCCTTTACTAGAATCCAAGTATGAAGCTTAAACAGAATATTGTTTTGTGTTATGTCATGTATTTTTTTATTGAGTAATGGATGGAGTCTTCATCTATTTCTGTTGTAAATTGAGAAATAAGTGGATGTACTGCATGTTTGTTCTCATATAATCCATGTTGGAATATATGTTCCTCTGCATGTTTTGTGTTATGTCTTGTTTGTAATAACTTATTTGATTTCTTGTTCTCAAATTGGATTTAATATCTTATGATGGGTACTTCCCATCTTGATGTAAGTTCCCTTCTCCTATAGGAATCAATAAGAGCTTTACTTAGGATGAGAAGAAGCACAAAGGAGAAAGAGCTTCAAGCTTTGTTATCTGGGGAGCAGGATTCTTGCTCTTGTTTTATAGAGGTAATTCCTTCCACTAAACTTTGCAAATATTCTTCATGGGTAGGAGAATTTGTCTGTTTGCCTGGACCACAAATTGCGTCTAATACACACATACACACACATTCTATCCAGATGGCCCTGATTTTAATTTACATATTCCCTGAAAATGGAAGGGGATTAGTGTCATAACTGTGAAGATATTTATGCAAATTAAGTTTCAATTGTTAATTTGTGTATGAAGCCTGTTTTTTAGAATTTAAGTTAGTTGGTGCCAATTAAAATATTGATCCATTGTTTGTGCATGATGCAGGTTCAAGCAGGAGCTGGGGGTACAGAGAGCATGGATTGGGCTGCCATGGTCATGCAGATGTATAAGTCATGGGCTCAACACAGGGGATATGGAGTGACTGTAGTGGACGAAATGCCCGGTGAGATTGCTGGAATAAAGGTTTACTTCCTTACCTTTTTTTTTCTAACCATGAGAGTATTCTTCTGAATGCAAATATGTATATGACGATATTCAAGAGAGTATTCTTCTGAATGGAAAACATTGTAGAAATTCTTATCCTAGAAGTAATACAAGAAGTTCAGTTCCTTTTGCTTTTGTTCATTCTGATGTGTGGATTCCTATTTCTACAACTTTATCTGGTCATCATTATTTTGCTACCTTTGTGGATGATTTTTTTCGGTGCACATGGGTTTATTTGATGAAAACTAAGGATGGAGTCTACACGATTTTCAAGAACTTTCGCAACATTGTGAATACCTAGTTTGAGAGGCCTCTTAAAGTCCTTTGATCAGATAATGGAGGAGAGTATATGGATGCTAAACTTCATGCTTATTTTGTTGAACATGGGAAAGAACATCAGACAACCTGTGTAAAAATCTCTCAACAGAATGGGGTTGTTGCAAGAAAGAATGTCTTTAGAAGTTGACTGGGCTCTTATGTTTGGTATGAATGTCCCTAAAACCTTAAGATCTGAGGCTGTTCTTACGTCTTCCTTACTGATAGTTAAAGCTTCAGCTCCCATTCTTGACTGGAGGAAAGTTGCAGATCTGTTAACAGCAAGTTTAAAGTTGAAGAGCACATTTATTTTAATACCTTTTGAGAAGGACAAGGCTTTGCTGG